TAATCATGGTTATCATTTCTTCTTGTTGACGAGCCATATTCTGAATGATCTCCATAAATTGATCAACTCGAGTGTCCATCCTAGTTCCCATAGCCATAACATCTGCTTGAATCTGTTCCATATGTCTCTTGGAAGTGCTCTGAGTATTATAACAATTAGAATTTGTAGTGACTTCCTCTGTAAGGGAAAGCCCAAATCAAAAATAAGAAGACCTGCCATAATCTCCTATCATAATATGATATGCATGAATGCATGGTCGTGCATGAGATGTTTTACCATTTCCAAGACATCCAAAAGTTTTGTCACCCCTAGGAACTTTTAAACAACATGATAAGAGAGATAATTAGCGAGAGACACATTCAAAAATAATTGGTTTTATTTAAGAATATCATTCATATGATAGAAACTTCTTACAAGCATGAATCAAAATACGTAATGAAATATAAACGATCCCATCCAACAAGACTGGTGGTGATCTGATAACATCAAAGTAAAAGAAGAAGAAAGAAACAAAAAGGAAAATAAAAAAGGTGGATCTCTAATCTCTGTCTAGTACAATGGCCCCCCTTCCGAAAGTACTCTTTACTTCATTCCTTGGTTTCTTTGAATAGTTTCTTTGTCTTTTCACGATCTAGTCCACGAGCGAAGCTATCAATTACCACATCTTTCCGAAATATTTATCCCTCCAAGTACATGCATTGCTCCAGGAAGCGATCACATTCTTTACATTCTGGAAAAGGTATAGGTACGGGCGCTTCTTTCATATCTTTTATTTTGTCTCAGAGTTTTGCATTCTCTTTCATTACTTCGGTCATTTGATCTTCCTTTGCTTCCAACTCCATCCTAGCAGCTTTAAATTGGTTTTCCAACTCTTTAGCTTTTGCTTTGTTTCTATTATTGGCCATTTGAAACTTCAAGGTTTCTCGATGATTCTTTTATGCATCTGCAAGGGCCATTTGATACTCTTCTGTAGATACAAATGAGTCTTCTATTCTGGGTCGCTTTTTGGAACTACCTTCTTCATATTCTTTTAGTTTACGGGCCAATTCCCTTTTCTTTTCTGTTAAGAAATATATTTCCATTTTTTATCTTCCAGATTTTGACGAAGGTCTCTGTTTTCCAACTGTACTTGGTAGAAACGTTCCTTAGGCATATCGTGCAGTAACTCAGTGGGTTAAGGATACAAGGACATTTCTTTTTCAAAAGGAAACATAAGAGATTTGACTCTTTCTTTTAACCAATCTACGTAAGGATCGAAAGCTAATACTTCTTTTAACCCGAATAATTCTTTTCCTTTCCTACCAACATGTCCCCAAGCAATTTTCGCTTTCTTCAATAATTCTAGATCTTCTCCATTTTTGTAATACACTGGTTCTACCTCTTTAACTGTGGGTGGACGCTCCATGGCATATCCTAATTGGTGAAGAGCGAGTATCAGGTTGTAGTTGATAATCCCTTTCGTTCCTATGAGTGGAACATTAGAGAAACCTGCATAGCTAGAGATGATCTCGATGCTATCAACCTTAAGTTTGTACCATTGAATATTGAAAGAGGTGAGTGTCATTACTCTGGATGCCCGTGAACGAGGATCTTCTTTGAATGTCCCCTTGGTGGGTAACTGTGCCATGAACCATTTGTAAAGCATTGGTACGTAGCATACCACTACTCCTTTCTTTCCATACCTAGAGTGGATGGCGTGGCAAGTGTCAGCTAATAGTGTAGGTATCAGATTCTTATTCATGAAGACACACAGGGCAGCCAAGTCTACTATTTCCTTAATCCCAGGGAAGAGGATAACCCCGTAAGTAGTAGCAACCAATAAAGCATAATAAGAATCCCAATGTCCTATTTTCACTTTTCCTTTAGCCTTATTTGCCAAGAAATCTACTGGAAGATCACAAGTGACTTTATTACGTCTCCACTTTCCCTTTACATTGTTAAGGCTCAAATAAAGAACCTTAGCAATGGCTTCATAGTCAGGCTCGACAGGGACCTGAGTGAATGGAGTATGACCAATAATCTTGATGTGAAGAAGATGAGCATACTCCTCAAGAGTAGGTGCTAACTGGTAATCCTAAAACTTGAAACAACGTAACTCTGGATCATAAAATTGTAGCAAAGTTTGAACAACTTTATCATCAACTCGAGCATCCAACAAAGATAGGAGATTCTCATATCTTTAACCAAAAACACCCATTTGTTGACAATTCATGAGATGTTTGAGTTCTTCGAGGAAGGGCCAAATACTAGGACGAAACTGATAGCTGAAATTATCCCTTTTGGTCTTTATGACGATATCAGTGTTGTTTGCCATTCTTTAGAGGAGAAGAAAATTCTTGGAAAATCCTGGAAATGACAATGCACATGCAGATTAATCATCGACATATATAAATTTTTTGAAAAGTAAATATGGTATGATGTAGTCACGAGGGGATCACGGTTTCCACAATACTGGATGTTGTTGTATTGCTGTATAGAATCATAGGTTAAAAATTTGAAATACTCATCAGTAGTAGTCATTAGCCAAAGTATTTAGCAGAAAGAGGGCTGCCAATAGAACCAAGTTAACATTAGAACCAAATTCACTAGAGTGGCCAACAGAATGAAGTGGTTACCATCAGAACATAGTCACCATCGGTACCTGTAATGATCAAATTCCTCCCCACTCACGGGTGAAGGCTAAGTCCGGGTAAGGCAAGGGTAACCCAGAAATCATTGATCCGCCTGAAACTATAATCATCACAACACAGATGTGCATGATGAAGATACCTTCATTTGAGCCTCATCCGAGCGTGGTATATGACATGACTGCACTAATCGGACCACGTCCTATAGCCGTCATGCCCCACTCTATTCCTAGTGTTCTAGTGCACTCTGACCTGGGTATTGGGCCTTTTACCTCAAGAAATATCATCCCAACCCCATAAAGAGACAATATAACAACCGTATCCAAAATATAGGAAATAATGAAAGGTAATGTATGAAAGCATATAATCAAATCATATAGACAAATAGATATGTAAACACCCAAGAAAAGAAGGTAAACAAACAAGATCTAGGATCGACTCTGAGATGGACCAGCGATAGGTCAATTTATCCCCAGTGAAGTCGCCAGCTGAAACAACCGGCTGAACAATCAACTGATAATGAAATCAATGAAGTTTCCATCGAACGTTTTTTATCCCGCAGGAAGGGAAAGGTAATTAGCGAGTAAACCTTCGAATGGTGAAATCACGATCAAATGACCGAGAGATATGGGTAAGGGAGTCTGTTACGCGAGGGGAAGGTATTAGCACCCCACACGCCCGTAGTACTCTACGGTATCCACTCATGTTGTTCTAATAAAAGGGTGTGTTTCAAATCTATATCTAAGTTGTACAAGGAATGCATGTAAAAGAAAGGAGAAAAGAATGTAGGGAAAATAAAAGTTGTGCTCATTCGGGCCCTACCCCAATGCGTACGTATCCCTTTTAAGGAATCAGAGCAGCCGTAGTTCGGCTTCAAATGTTTTTGTTGGTTTATATTTTTTATTGAACAATATTAATTTCTCCTTCTTCCGCGACTCAAACTTTAGAGACTTACGCGTCAGCACAGAAGTGAATTAACATGTTCTTTTGAAAAGTTCTTGAAAGAAAAGCCCAAAGGCAAAAAAAATTGTGTTGGTTGGTATTTTGCTTGTGGATAACAGTTAGTTGATCTCAAGAGAGAGATTTTAGCCACTTCTCCACTTATTCATGAAATAAGTCTTTGATACTTGAACCACACCAAGGCTTAGAACGGAAAAACAATAAGATCGAGAAGAGACCCGCTTATCGTTTCCTATGCTCAACAAAGGTATGACTCTCATCGGTAATATTTAAGTGTTTTGAAGTTTGCAAGAAAAAAAGAAGTTTTTGTTTTGTTTAAAATGAAAATGAAAAAGGGGAAAGAAAAGTCTAAAGGGGAGACTAACCTAAATCTATCCCTAATGTTATCATGCATCATTGGGCCTAAAGTTGGAATTTTGAGGGAATTCTATCTAATGTTTGCATATTTGGATTTAGAAGCCTAATGTCTAATTTTAGTTCAATTAAATCGAAGATTAAATTTGAACCAAAATTACCTAAGGGGTTATGAAAGATTACGCAAACGAGTAAAATTAGGCAGCAAGTATTAAAGTATTGCATACAAACCATGCCAAAAATTGCAAATGAAATATATGACATAAAGTGAGCAAGGCTAGTGGTTAAAAAAGAAAGATTAGCCAAGGGGAAAATTAATTCCTATTTAATTAATAAAATGTCTTATAATATTTTTATCATTTTTATTATGTATTTTGTCATGAAAAAAAGAACTAAAAAGAAATTAAAAGGAAACTAGGAGAACCAATGGGCATGCTGCTAGTAGTGGTGCATTGTAGTAAGCAGTTCCATATGTAAGGCCCAAGCTGACTAAGGGCCAATGTTGTTTTTTGTTGCTATTGCTACTGCATTTGGTTTCCAACAAAAAAGGATTGAAACAGGCTTAAGATTGATTTGGCCCATAAGAGTTCAGTATTTCTAACCATTTAGTCTAAAACGTGTTGGGCCTAACGGGTCACTTAACCCAACATTATTATTTTATTTACCAGATTTCAGTTCAAAAAAACAAACAAAAATAATGTAGCGACAAGAAACGATGTCGTTTTTTTATTCTTAGGCTAGGGTTTAAATTTGGTTCTTCAGATCGCCCAAACGAATTCTTCCTTCTTTGTTCAATCTTCCTCCTCTTCTTCTTGAGTATGAACAGTGGTGGTCCCGATTAAAAACGAAACGCAATCGCCCATTCACAATTCGCCTCTATCATTCTCCTCCATCCCTCCACTACTAAATATCATCTCTGTTTTTCAGGATTCCTTCTCAATTTTTCCAAATCTAAACGAATAGAAAACCTAGGAGTTTTAAACTGAAATCAAATGATAACAGTGACAATTTGAAGTTTGAGGCATTAGGGGAATTAGTCAGCAAGCGAAGACGCATAATATGGTAACAAGCATTATGCAAACAGGCGAAGAAATGAGGGAGATCAGAGCTTACCTGTCGGAGACACTCCGGCGGTATTTTAGATGCGGTGAAGGCAATGAGAAATCCAGAGGACAATCTTCAAAGCGCAGGTAAACGTACTACACTCAATTTCTTGCTCTTTGACTCTTTCTCCATCTTCTTCTTCCGATTCAGTTTTCTTCTGCTACTATTTTCTCTCGATCTTCCGTTTTCATGAGAAGAGCGATTAATCATAGTACTGAGAAATCAGTATTGCATAGAATTCTTCGTGATTATGGTACAAGGCGTTGATATGTAGTAAGAGTGCACGGAAGAACTGCAAAGGTTGAAAGATAATGGAGGGACAAAGGTTGCAGGATAAAGGAAGAAGGTATTAGGATGAGGGAAGTTGAGGGTTGAATTGAGAAAGAAGATGAAAGTAGAGTTGAAGTGAAATAAAGCCTCCTCTCTTCTGAGCCCGATGGAGGATATTATATAGGAATGAAGAAGAATTTAGTTGAAACTGAAAGTCCCTAGGCCACAGTATCAAAAGGAATTGGTTTAACAGATGAAGGGTAAAGATTGAAGGTGGAAGTTAGTTAGAACTGAATTCTGTTTTTTTTTCCGGTTATGATTAGTTTCTGTTAAGAGATAATTGTAGCTAATTCTGAAACTAAGTTAGTTAGAGGGATACAGACAGTTACAGGTTGTTAGGAAATTGAAACTGCCACTTTCTGTTAGCAGCTTTTAATTGTTGAGATTCTGTTAAAGGTTGGTTAGCAATTCTGTTAAAGGTTAGAGGTTAGAGAGAACTACCTAGGCCCTGGCGGTTATGATTTCGTTTAGTTTTTCTGTTATAGGATTATATGATTCTCTTAGAAATTTGGTTAGGGAGCTCTATCAGCTCTGTTAGTTGTTATAATAGTTAGTTAGGACTTGGTTTGGAGTTAGTTATGTATGGAGGTCAGAAGTTATCAAATGTTGTTAGTTTAGTTAATTGGTTCTGTTATGGGGATTAGGGCCAGTTGACAATTAGGAGATTAGTCTGGGAAATTGGTTAGAAGCTAAATGGTTCTACAACTCTGTTATTTTTTATTTATGCTGAACTTGACTAATATTTAGTAGTTTTTTCTGTTTCGCGAGCTGATCCGGTTTTGGTTATGTAGGGTATTGTTACAGCAGAGCTACAAAGAGGTTATCTCACGGTTTCCCACCTTTTCCCTTTCCTGATGACTGGACTGGTGAATAGTCTTGTCTTTGGTACGAACTGACGATGATGAACATATGCATTCCTCGTGCTGAATTGAATCTTGTTGATCTAATACCCCATTGAACTGTCACTAGACTTGGCTTTGACGTTTGATCATGCTAGTTGATGCAACAATTATTCTGGTTATGTAGTAAGCACCAACTAGCTCTTTTAGACAGATATGGCCGGTTGTTGCTTGATGAAATACATGTTGTAGATTTATCAAGCTCACGACAGAATACCAATGACTGAGGCTCTTCCCGGTAATACTTTTATGATTCTAATCTTTCTTTGAAAACTTCTTTTCCTCTTATCTTTCTCTGTATTCTGAAGGGCCTTTGAGCAGGAAAATGATGATGACCTGTTAGGATTTCGTATGCTTGATAGCTCCTTTTTCTGTGATATTTTGCAACTTTGGTTACAATTCTGTTTATTGAGCTTGAATTCATGATTTGTTTGCACTTGTTGATTTCTTGTGAGAATCTGTTACTGCAGTAACTTTACTTAGCTGAGATGCGAAATTTATGTTGGCCTGTTTGCAATTGCTGTGCACTGTGATATTTGATGGGTCTTGACCGAGTTTGCGTGTAACAATTTGTCTCTTCTTGAGTTTTTCCTATTGTGAACCAAACATTCTTTTTGCACTTGTTTGAGATTTGTAGTAGAATGGAATTAGGCCAATGATTGAACTTGCATCTGATTTTTATTATGAAACCAATGAATATGAGGCTTTATTGTTCGATTTGTGAATATAATTTGAAAGAGAATTCCTTAATCCACAAGCTGATTCCTTCACTCAAACCATAATGATGAGACTGGAAAAGTTCTTTGAAACTATCTTGCTTATACTCAAACTTTACTTGCTAACCACCTTCTTTTTTCTTCCTAGTTTCTTGAGATGGCGATAGCGGTGAATGCATGGCGAATGAAGAGGTGCATGGAGAATGACGAGAAATTTTTATGGATGAAGTGATTCAAGTTGTTGGACATTTGTGAAGTTAGATATAAGATGGAGGGTGAGGACACTGCAGTTTTAGAGAGTTTGAAATCTGTCATGAAAAATAGGTAATTAGCTTTCTATTATATATTGATAGAAGTGCCATAGTTTTGACAAATTACAGCATGTTATGCGAACACATTCAAGCTAATGTCTGTTTGGTATTGAATTTATTCCTGAAAATTGCAGGGGCTTTTTCACCATAGCAGGTCGGATTACACGATAAGGAAGAGCAAGATTTCATAGAATTGGTTAAAGGTCTGGAACAGGCTTGAATGGGTTTTGGCAGCCGGTCTTTCGATAAGCTATAACATCCTAAGGAACACTTAGGATTACGATGGATATATAACCCTTTCTTTGTAATTTCTCAAAATGTAATGGCAATACGACCTGCAATTTTTAATTCTAAAGAGAAACATGGACGAGATTTGTATGATTTTAAACCTTTTGGACGAACTTGAAATAACTTTGGATGATGATTTGTATGAAACCTTTTGAATTACGAACAATGATTGAATTTAGAATCACTTTGAGTGAATTATTCAATGAGAACCATTCCTTGATTACAAGTCCACTTGTATTGCAATCCAAAACGACACATGAAAGAATTACTCGTATCTTTAATGACCCTCTAATTCGATTCACCTTTGTATGAAAAATGACAAACATTTGAAGGAATGATGATGCCTTTGAACTTTTGAATAAGGTCTTGAACAAGTTTTGAATACTTGAAGCGTCGACACAACTTTTGTAACTCAAATCCGTATGATCTCAAAGTCACGAACTTTCCTTCTTAATCATGTTTGCCTCTTAAGAATTTTAATCGCATTGAATCCATGGCATAAAGTGATCATCTGAATGAATCCAAACTCAATTGCAATTCTCAATTACTCCTAACTTCGATTCTTAAATCCATATCAAACAAAAATAAAAGAAGTAATAATGTCTCGCCTGCATTGGATCCCCAAGTTCAACATTTTATACCATAACTCAGCGTCTTTGCAATTTAAATCACAGGTCCATGACTTCAAAACCAATGATCTCAATGCCAAACCAACCTTTATTGAGGAAATTCCTTGACTCAGATGAAACTAGAAGCATAGAAAGACATCTATGTGATACAACCCTAATTTCATTAAATACATAGGGAAATGAACCCTAATTTCACATTTCACTGCTTGAAGGATAACTAGAGGAATCAGGCTTTATTGAACATATACACCTTAGTCAGTTGTAAAAACCCTAGCTTGCACGCCTACTGAACTTTTGAACCATGACTCAACAACACCTGAATTAGTTAACTGGAGAGTGGATGAATTCCATGCCACAGTCATTAACCATGATCAAATGTAAGCACACTCATATGAGAAGATGTATTGATTCAAAGAGTATGTATGCTAGGTCACACCCCTGAATTCTTGACAAGAAAAAATCTACAACATGTTGTTCAGTAGAAGATAATAGCCTTGTAGCTTGATGGGGAAGAAATCCAAACTGAACATGAACCAAAACCCTAATTCCACAGCCTTGTACACCAAGAAGATCCTGAATAATCAATCTTATTCAACATATATACCTCAAATCAGCTGTAAACCCTAGCTTCATAATTGCTTATCTTTTAAACCTCAGATGCTTCATTTTTTTATGAAAATGCATGCTATGCACATGACCTATTGGAATGATGCAGATGAATGCAAAGTCTAAACAAGAATAAGAGAAATTAGGAGGGAAAATTTTGGGGTGCAACAATACTAAAGAGAAAATACACAAAAGAGTGGATTCGAAGAACCAAAATACAAAAAGAGAGGAATTACGAAGATACAGAGGAAAAATTCTAAAGAACAAAGGTTGAAGGAGAACCCTGTCTTGTTGTTGAAGAAGACGAAAAGGGGATGATTAAGGTTTCAATATCTGAAACCCTAATCTTCGTTGAAAAGCTTCTCCGCGCCACAGCTACCTCGTCGGAACCTGTAAATCAAAGGGATAAAGGAGATTAACACTGAACCGGACAAACGCTCAACAATCAGAATACAGAAACGCAAATGGGTAAACTTAGCTTGATTTTGTTCTAATTGTTGATTTGGGGTTTTTGTTGGGTGGATTTGTGTTGGGGATTTGGTTGAGGGTCTCGCGTCGCTGTGGTGTAGTTTTAAGGTTAGGGTTAGTGAAGGTGAAGGATTAGGTTGAGCGAAAGAGGGAAACGATTACAGTAAAAACAATAAAATGAAATGAATAATGAAACATAACATATATTCCATAGGAATCTAGTGTACACGTGCCCACGATATTCAACATGTGCCTTCAATCCCATCTGTCTAGTCGTTATTGGACGGTTGTGAGGTCAAGTCCACCACAAGTTTGTACACCCTCATACACATAAACCATCCAGGCCGTCCCCCATAACGCGTTTGGGCCAAGCCCAACTCTGTTTGCACCCCCTCTTTCCAGTAGTTACTAATTCAAAACTAACGTGACACCTCCCCTACCTCTGGGCCGAGTTCAATATCTGAACTTGAGCCCAACTTCTCATTACACCCGTGTTTTGCTTGTTCGTTACAGAAACACCCCCCCCCCCAGGCTTACTGGGCCTGAATTCAGGCTCTGACTCTTTGCACCCTACTCTTTTACTACCCAACATAAAAACGTACCCCCTGACTATTAATTAATATTTTTCTATTTTTTTATCTTTTATACTTTCTTATTCATATTTATTATTTTCTTATCATTATTATTATTATTATTTGTTTTTATAATAATTATTTTTATATATTATTTATTATTATAATCCTACTTTAATTTCATACTATTATTTTTATTATCATGTAAATAAATTATTTTATTTAGAAACTCATGAATATTATTTTATATTATTGCATTAAAACATTTTTACCATGCATTAATTAAGAAATTTCACAATTAATATGATAAAAAATATTCAACAAATCTTAAAACTATTTTTCGCAATAAACTAATCTAAACAAATAACTTTTGCTAAAAGGTTCCAAATATATTTTGACTAATCGCGCCTTTAGTCCAAAATTTCGCAATCTCTTTACTCTATCAAAATGCGAGGCGATTCAAAATACTTTTGCAATCCATAAAAAACACAAACCCCGTATGAACTATGAATTCAGACTCTGATTCCTCATAAGAGGATACGTAGGCATACGACTAAAATCGTGGTGAGTTCCCCTATTAAAAATTAAAACCCTTTCCCCTATTAAAAAAATTAAAACCCCTTCTTACCTAACTGTTAAACCTAAACCTAGTATCCTTAAGAATAAGGTATATGAAAGGTGCCTAACACCTTCCTTTCATCTAATAGAGTCCGAAACTTAGAATCTATGTCTTTGTGAATTAGGGTTTCCTATTAGATTCCCTTCCTTAGGATAAAAACTAGTAGTTGCGACTCTTAATTTTAAAATCAGTCGCAACAGCTGGCGACTCTACTGGGGACCTCAACCTTAGGTTTTATGTTTTATTTTGGGTTCTTTATTTTCTTTATTTATTTATTGCATTTATTTATTCTTGTCTCTTTCAATATTATTATATTTACTGTATGGCGGGACTTTTGTTTCAAAAAAAAATCTCAAATAACCCTTAGAAAGAAGGTTCGTCTATTAGCTTAGGGGATACATCATCCCTCCGAGTTTATATGAAGACTTCGCCTAGAGTCGGTGGAATTCTGCAAAAGGAATACTTTTCAAGATATATCCTCTTGACGAGTAGGACTTTGGAATGCCACCCATGACTCTTTGTAACGATCTTAACCAAAATATCATGACGAGACCTTTCACGAATTTGAGATGAAAGTCTCGGTCCGTAAAGAGGCTCCACCTAAGGGAGGCCCTGGTGCCTTTTCCCTCTTGTGTTATTCATAAGGAAATCACCTTTTGGGAGGGTAGATTAACCGTAGGTCAAAGTTAAGATCCTACCTTATAAGGGTACCTCTCATAAAATCCTGTCACTAGATCATACATCCATGCATTCATACATTTCATATATTCATCATCTATTTCTTTTATTTATCTTATTCACAGGGTAAGAAAACAAAAATCAATAAAATCAAGATTTTAGTCATTATCTTTGAAAATGGATACCAAAGGAAACAACTTGTCCGCGTCAATGCGCCAAACATGTCTAAAATTAAAGCCACAAAAGGGAAATTATACAAAAGAGCTATGAAGATGTACGCTCGCTGCCATGGGGATACCCTTGATCCTAAGGATGTCGAAGACTTTCTCAAGCTTTTCCGAGCAATGGATGATGGTTTTAGAGCAGACATCTGCAAGCGCACCTAGAACATTTATTTCTCTTTGTTTATGTTTATGCAAACAAGTTTTGATTTAAAGTTTTAATATTTTTCAATATCTGGATTATGTTACTTCCAATAAAGGAATTTTGTTTCTGTATCTTGTTTGCGTATCTATTTTTAAAGCTATTCACCAAATATAAAAAAAGATAAAAGAAGCAAAAGATAAATATATACCCAAGTGAATAAGATATTTAAAACAAGAAACCATTACATGTTCATACATAATCATAAGTATGCATGCATTCGCAAACACTTGCATATCATAACAAAGCTCATTTTGATTTTTCAAAATCTCTCCAGTTAAACCATTGGTAGAAAAAGATCACCACCTCCTTGGCCTTCATATAAAACAAGGGCCTACCAACAAAAATAAATGGAACAAATCAAGGAGAATCAGGTCGCATTCAAGAAAGATCTCGACCAAGTAAAGGGTGATGTGAGTTCCATGAAAGGAGATCTAAGTCAAGTTCTCCTAGTCTTGAGGAACATCATTGACAGACAAGATCATATTCCCATGGTAGCTTTTGAAAAAGTAGCTCAAACAATTGGTGCATCAAGCGGGCACCAACTAAGAAAAGAGCCAGA